TAGCAAAATCAACTCAAAAGTAAAGGTCTTCACAAATGAAGCCCCTCCCTGTTATCCCTTGCAAAAGACATTGAAGTTTAGCAACTGCAGTCATTCATAGCTTTACAACAGGGATACATTCTGAGAAATGCATCCTTCGACAATTTCATTGTTGTGCAAACATTGTAGAGTGTACTAACACAGACCTAGATGGGATAGCCTGTTAATTACATACCTAGACTAGAAGGCATAGCGTGTTGATCCTAGGCTATGAACCTGTTTATGTTACTCTACTGAATGTTGTAGGCAGTTATAACACAACAGGAAATATTTGTGTATCTAAACATAGAAAAGGTGCTATAAAAGTTTGTTATAAAAGACAAATGGTACGCCTGTGTATGGTACCCACCATGAATGGGGCTTGTAGCATCAGAAGTTGCTCTGGGTAAGTTAGTGGCAAGTGAATGTAAAGGCCTAGGACATTATTGTACACTACTGCAGACATTATAAGCACTGTACCCTTAGGCTACACTAAATTTATACAAAAATATTATTTTCTTCAATAATAAATTTGTTGTAAATTTATTACTTATGTCAGAAAATATTGTAAAGTCTTTGACTCTTGTAATAACTTTTAGCTTAGGCTGGGCACAGTGGCTCACACTTGTAATCCCAGTACTTTGGGAGGCCAAGGTGGGTGGATCACCTGAGGTCAGGAGTTCAAGACCAGCCTGGGTAACATGGTGCAACCCCGTCTCTACTAAAAATACAAAAATTGGCTGGGGGCGGTGGTGGGAGGGTGCCTGTAATCCCAACTACTCAAGAGGCTGGGGCAGGAGGATCGCTTGAACCCAAGAGATGGAGGTCGCAGTGAGCCAAGATAGTGCCATTGCACTCCAGCCTGGGTGCCAAGAGTGAAACTCCGTCTCAAAAATAAATAAATTTAAAAATAACACTTAGCTTAAAACATATACATTGTACAGCTATACAAAACTATTCTTGTTTCATAGATATATTTTTTTTACTTTAACTTTTTTTGTTAACGAAGACACAAACACACACATTAGCCTAGACCTACACGGGGTTAGGATTATCAGTATTATTCATTGTCTTCCATCTCCACATCCTTCCAAGGTCTTCAGGGGCGGTAACACTCATGGAGCTGTACTCTCCTATGATAATGGTGACTTCTGGAAACTTCCTCAAGGACTTGCCTGAGACTGTCTTACGGGGTAACTTTTTTTTTTTTTTTTTTTTTTTTTAATCATTTTTACTCAAAAATGAGAAAAGCTATAGTGAACACATAAACTAGTAATAGTTATTATGATCAAGTATTAGGTACTGTACATACTTGTATGTGCTAGACTTTTATGTGACCAGCAGTGTAGTAGGTTTGTTTACAACATCACCACAAATACATGTGTTGCACTGTGACATTAGGGTGGCTATGATGTCATTAGGTGACAGAAATGTTTCAGCTCATTATAATCTTGTGGGGCTACCATCACACATGCAGTCGTATGCAGAAATGCTGTTATGTGGTGCGTGACTGTATCTTGGATGAATTGGAGAATTTTACACTCCAAGGCAAGACCAGAGTAGTGACAGAGCAGGGGGTGGGTCCAGGTGTTCAGGTTCCTGCATCTTCTGGGGCCTGATGTCACAGGCAACCTGGTCCTCTGGAAAAATGCCAATCACAGCGCCAACACCTGAATGTCCAGGGGAAATAACTTGGCACTGCCTGTGTTAACTTCCCTCATTTTCTTTTCTTTCTTTTTTTTGAGATGAAGTCTTACTTTGTCGACCAGGCTCGAGTGCAGTGGCATGATCTTGGCTCACTGCAACCTCCGCCTCCCAGGTTCAGGGAATTCTCCTGCCTCAGCCTTCTGAGTAGCTAGGATTACAGGCGTGTGCCACCACGCACAGCTAATTTTTGTATTTTTAGTAGAGACGGGGTTTCACCATGTTGGTCAGGCTGGTCTCGAACTCCTGACCTCGTGATCCACCCGCCTCGGCCTCTGAAAATGCTGGGATTATAGGCGTGAGTCACTGCGCCTGGCCTAACTTCCCTCATTTTCTCTGGAGTTTTAGGGATGTTGCATTTTGATGCTTTGTTTTCAGGTTAACCTCAGTTTAACTCTCTATAGCAGTGACCAGAAGCTCTTTCCTCTGATGTTTATCAAAGGCTTTAATACTTTGGAACTGGAAGACACTATAATATTTTGTCAATTAGATGTAAATCACCTTTAAATCGTATATTACCATTATGATGTTTTGTTTATAATTTCTCAGATTATTTGGCATTAATAACCTCCACAAATGGCCACCAAGACATTTTCTCTGGCGCAGTAAACAAGAGCTTCCTTAGTCCCTTACTTGGCATTGAACGAACCCTCCTTGCCTATGCGTCTCCCAGCCTGCTTCTCAGTGCTGCAGTCACATGGCTGCAGGACTCCTTGAGCTCCTGAGCAGAGTGAAGCCTGTAAGGCAGATGCAGGGCATATTCTCAGGATACCCCGTCAGCAGGTCTGACATTTGACCTACAGGAGTCAAACTCAGTAGACGGAGAGAGGGACAGTTTTGCCTGCCAGATGTGAACTCTGACCTAAAGACGGCTGCTCAAAATAGCCTTCATCCTCTTTGCCTAAGCCTGATAAGCAAGCTTTTATCTCAGCTGCCCCTGGTCACCTGCTTTTCTTACTTGACTCTGCAATTCTCCAGGTGGCTATTCCTGGATGGCACTCATCCAGAAAGAGTCATTGTTCCTTTCTCCCTTTATTTCACTCGGAGATTATTTTGATAAGATTATGATTTACAAACAATCAAATTCATACGTTTCAAGTATACAATTCAGTGAAGTTTTTGTAAATTTACCAGGTTGTGCAACCATTACTGTAACCAAGTGTTAGAACATGTTCATTATCCTGGTTAGATTATTTATGCCCAAGTAGTTAATTACCATCTTCACCCCCAACTCCAGGTATCCACTAATCTACATTCTATCTTTAGATTGCCTTTTCAGGACACTTCACTTAATATAATTAGACTGTACACAGTTATGTGTATCTGGCTTCTTTTGCTGTCTTTGAGGTTCATCCGTGTTGTGACATGTCAGTGATTTTTGTGATGGTGGGTTCCTGCTGCCCCCAGACCCACGGTTCTTTAAAGATGCCAAGGAGCCTGCTCTTTGAATAACCCCGCTTTCCCCCAGGCTCTCCTGCCGCGTTTCCCACAAGGCTGTTGGTCTCTCCTCTCAGTGACTTCACCTGACTGAGCTGCCTGCCTTCTCCAGCCTATCCTCCAGGCCCCGCCTGGCTCCCTGTTGCCCCTACACTGGCTTCCTGCCCTTCTTCCAAAGGCCTGGCTGGTTCCTGATTCAGGCTCTGCCCATTGCTGCTGTCACCTCCCCCCAGCAACCCTAAATCTTTGCCCATTGTTTGTCCCTCATTCTGTTCAGGTCTTGATTCAAATGTTGCTTCATTAAAGAGGCACCATGACCTCGACTCAAATAGCATTCCTTCCCACACACATTCATTTGCCCCACTGTGTCTTCACAGCTCTTGTTCCTGTTTCTTGTTCATTCCTGAAATGATACTTTGTTATTATCTTGTTAATAGACTAGTGGGTATCTTCCTCTGTTTAAGCTGCTATAAGAGAATACCATAAACTGGGTGGCTTACCAAGAACAGAAATTTTTCTCTCACAGTTCTAGAGTCTGGGACATCTAGGATCAAGGCCCTGGCAGATTTGGTGTCTGGTAAGTGTTGCTTCCAGGCTCAGAGGGGACATCTCCTGTGTCCTCACATGGTGGAAGGGATGAGGGGGTCTCTCCTTGGGCTCTAAGTTAAGAGCAACGGTGCCATTCATGAGGATTCTGTCCTCATGACCCATCACCTCCTGAAGGCCCTGCCTCCTAAATTCCATCACTTTGGGATTTCGGATTTCAACATATACATTTTGGAGAGGATATAAACACTCAGACAACAGCAGTTAAGAGAGCAGGTGGTGGCTCACGCCTGTGATCCCAGCACTTTGGGAGGCTGAGGCGGGTGGATCACCTGAGGTCAGGAGTTCAAGGCCAGCCTGACCAACATGGTAAAATCCCATCTCTACTAAAAATACAAATTAGCTGGGTGTGGTAGCATGTGCTTGTAATCCCAGCCACTGGGGAGGCTGAGGCAGGAGAAGTGCTTGAACCCGGGAGGTGGAGGTTGCAGTGAGATGAGAATGCACCACTGCACTCCAGTATGGGCAACAGAGTGAGACTCTTTCTCAAAAAAATCCAGATAGAAAAATTAGGTCGGAAAAGAAAACTCATAACTGGAGGCCCATCATGCTAGGCATTTATAAATGTATGACTGTATTCCCCCTCATCATCAGTTGTGAAGTGACATTTGAGATTTGAACTCAGTCCTGATTGACATGTGAAGCTCAGACACTACACACTGTATTTTGCTGTGAAGCAGACCTCAGAAAGTATGATTAGATTCTGTGCAACCTTGAAAATGCTCTGGACTCAGTGGGTACAACTCAGCTATCTGTACTTCACACAACACAGGTGGTCTAGGAAAGAGGCTGCCTTTGGCTGGACTGTGCAAATGTGTTTTATTTTTTTTCCTGTCATGTTGGTCAGCAGTTATACCAAAGCTAGCTATCAGCATCTCTGAGTAGATGGTGATAAGGAGAGTCTGGGCATGCAACACCAGCTACTGGCACACTTTGTTTCCAGAGGGGTTATGATGAATCGTATGTTTAAGGACAGCTGTATTATATACAGTACAGCTAGTGCTCGACTTACGACCACGGTCGGGACCGCGGACCGGTCCTAGCACGATTTGGTTGTAAGTTGAGTAGGCTATATGTACAATTGAAATGGTGCATGCAGAGATGGTAGTGCTGCTGGAAGCTGGTCCGCACTGTCGTACGCCCAGCTGGGCAACGTTTGCGCTGCCAGACGCAGAGCAGTGGTGGCTAGCGATTGTGGTCGTAAAGTCAAATGGTCATACGTTGCATAGGTGGTAAGTCGATCAATACCTGTACTTAAATAGTAATGGAAAGCATGATTCCAGAAGAGAAAAACCAAGCCACGTAGCTGTCTTGGTATGCTTGGCATGCAGTGATATGCTTGATAGAAAATAGTATTTCTAATTTTTGACAACTTGGTAAGTAGAGAGAGAGGGAGAGAGAGCTCTTAAAAGCACACACATATACAACTTGGAAGACAGGACTTATTTGGAAAAATACAAATTATTGGAATAATGAAGTACTGTTTTAAGCCATTTTATATAAGGTTAAGATGTTGTATAAAATAATTATTTTCATCTTATGTGATAAAGCAAGACAAAGGAAAAAGAAAAACTGTTTTAAGTTAGATCAGCATTTCCCAAACTAATACCCAAAGGAACACTGTTTCATGAGATGTTAAAATATATGCCTTGAAAAAAATTGTGTGGATCAAAGTTTGAGGATTAGTATATCTTAAAAATCTTGGGGGTGGGGTGGGGTGTGGGCAAACCAAACCTTTTTTTTTTCCCCAGTTAAGTATGACTATTTCTGTTTCTAGGAGTGATCTGTGGGGGAGAAACAGCTTGGGAAATGCTGAAATTTCTGATGGTTAAGGTAAGATTAGATATATGTATCTGTTTGGATAATTACTCATGTGATCTCTTGGAACCTAGGATCCTTAGCTCCAAGGAACTCTGATTTCTAGGAATATTTTGTAAACAAATCAATAACAGACAAATAGGTGAAGAATCTGAATTTTTCCAGTCCACTGATTTTTGAAAGGAGGCATCCAAACCCGAAGACTAAGTGGTTAGTGTTTGTAACAGTGAGCCACCTCTGACGGACAGCTGCATCACCTCTAACAACAGAGATGGAATGGATGAACTCAACTTACTTTCAAAGCTAATATTCTATGACTTAACTGCTTGGAAAGTAACTTGTTGCAGAAAGGGGAAATGCTTTATTCTCACAGAAAACACTTCTAGAGTTGCCCCCAACATGAAGAAACTGGAAGTAAAGTCTCTCATTCTTAAATAACATTTATTATTGTTGCAAAGACGTCTTCTCCATGAGAACATTTCTCACATTTATTTAAAGATATACGGGTTATGGATATAGAAGCAAATTTCACTGAGGTGTTATATTGAAGGATGCCCGACTATGATCCTTAATTCAGCAATCTAATATTCACAATGTGTCTGTTGCCATTTAGCTATTTATCCAAACATGCCTTTAAAAAAAAAAAAAACACCACATGTGCCTAGACAGGGTGGAAAAAGAAATGTCAAGGGCTTGCTAAAAAGAAGAAGCCTATAAAAGATAAAATTCCCACAGCAGTTCTGTTCAACTGTAGTTTGTGAGTGCAGGAACAATGTTTCCGTGGGGAAGCATTATGCCCAGTGGTTTCCTGGTTTGAACAGTGGGAAAGCCCTTGAGGTTTTCTGTCGCTGTCAGGAGGGAGCGGGAAACTGTTTATGGAATCCATTCGATGTTCAGGCACCGTGCTATGAAAGCAAACATGTCTGAGACTTCCTCTATCACTTTGGCTGTGGGCTTCCCTGCTCCGTGGCCCGCCTTGGTATCCACGTGGATAAGCAGGGGGTTGCTTTGCTTCCTGCTGCGGCCCACGATGTACTGAAGGGTGGCGATGAACTTCAGGGAGTGAAGCGGGACCACCCGGTCATCATGGTCGGCAGTGAGGAGCAGCATGGACGGGTACTGGATGTCATCTGCTTCTGGTAACTTCACGTTATGCAATGGAGAGTATCTGGAAGGCAAAGACGCCTTCGTGAGGCTGGAGAACAACGCAGAGGTTTTTGCAGGACAATCCAGGAGAACTGGTATGGCACAGGGACCTATGTAGTTTACTAGGCTAACTTAACTAGTATATGAGTGACTACCACAGACTGTGTGTGCATGGCCATTTAGGCCGTGACCAGCAAGGGCTTCTGCACTGCAGAGCTGTGTCATTTATGTGGCTCCAACTTTGAAAGACTGTCAGAAGGAAGGTCACAGCGCTGTAGAAACAGCCCAAATCATAGGCACGCTTACTGTCCCTTAAGATGAATAGTTTCATGATCTCTAGACTTTTACTGCTACGTAGTGGAGTAATAATTAATTGTCTTTTTAAACTACTGGGTGTGGTTATAAGTCTAAGCCTTTCTTTTGTTGAGAAACTTGAAATCCACAGTATATGATAGCTTGCTGCCCCTTTATTCCAGGCTCAGTTCTGCAGTCTTAGGAAAAGCACAGGTCCTCTCTGGGCCTCGCTTCTTGTCTGTGAACTGAGGAAGCTGGACAGGCTGCTGGCTCTCAGTCCAGCAGAAAGCAGCAGCCTTCGAGCAGTGGAGGGGGCACCTTCTGAAGGACAAGGCAAGTTTCCTGGGTAAGTTAACAAAAAGGGTGCTAAGTATAAAAGTAATGTTGATTTTAACAGTGACTGATAACAGTGAAGTGAGAGAAATCTCTGGATATTTTTTCTTTGCATTTTCCTAATACGGGTGCCATGTTCTTCAAAGTATTTAATATTAACGAATAAAATCAACTGTTGAGTTTTATTTTGAAGGGTAAATAGTGAAAACAGTAAAAATTCTGCTCAGTTAACCAACTTGAGGCCAAAACATTCTCAGTTTCTGGGCTTCAGTTTCCCAACAGGTAAGTTGGAGATCCGTTTTTTGATCTCATTTCAGAGTGTTTTATGACCAACCCCATTCTTCCAAATAGCGGTTAGTTCTAAGGAGAAACAAGTTTGGAAAACCCTGCCTGTTAACAATAATCTCCCCCTTGGAGATTCACATGGAACATTTATACATTATCTGGAGAAAATAAATACATTAGGCTTTATCTCCTAGTCATTCAAACTTGGAACTCTACCTCTTTTTGGGGAAACACGTTTTAATAATTTTGGCCCTCCGTGAGGCATACCCCAGGGGGTGGGAGGTGCTGGGCTTGTGGAGCTCCCTGTAGGGGCTTCCTAGCTAGTGTGGGCTGAGTTCCACACTCATTTTACCAGCTACAGGGGAAAGGCAATGCAGCCCTGGGAGAGCGAGATTTGAAAATTGAAGCAGGAATATCACAGAGAAAAATATTTAGAACTTTTTTTGTTTTTAAATTAATTTTGAAAGTATTAGGTGTCTCTAATATTCTTTTGCCTTCAATATTCAATTAACTCAGTATTTTCAAATGAGTTTAAATAGGACTTGTTTCCCTAGGTGCCAGTTTTCTCCAACTTTTACCAATATGTGTCGATGAGGCCTGTGTGCACTGAAAAGTACTAACTTTCACAGTGAACTTTGTTTCCCCTTAGAGAACAGCATTTAGTAGTTTAAAGTACCCAGTTAAAACAATTCAGTCATTTTAAGTGTATTTCAAACTGGAGAGGCTAGCTGTAAAAAGCAAACAAAATGAAAGAACAAATTTTAGAAACCAGGCCATGCATGGTGGAGCGCACTTGTCGTCCCAGCTACTGGGGGCTGAAGCATGAGAACTGTTTGAACCCAGGAGGCAGACGTTGCAGTGAGCCAAACTGTGACACTGCCCTCCAGCCTGGGCAGCAGAGAGATCTTGTAAAAAAAAAAAAAAAAAAAAACTTTAGTTATTTTGGTCAAAATTTGTGGTTTACTAACAACAGGTGGAACAAGCTTCTTGTGCCAGTCTGAGAGCCACTCCTAAACACTGCTGATTAAAAATAAAATTTAAAAACTCTTACATAATGGAGAATGAAAGGCCAAAAAGAAGTTTTAATGTCTGTTTACTCATTGTTATCAATCACCATAGTGGTTTCAGGATACAAGGGACATTGTATAAGATTTCAATAATGCAACTTGCAGTTTCAAATATATGTAGCTATACTGAGCATAAAATAAGTTTAACTGTACTTGAATATATTCCTTTTTTTTTTTTGAGACAGGGTCTTGCTCTGCTGCTCAGGCTGGAGTGTAGTGGTGTATCTTGGCTCACTGCAACCTCTGCCTCCCAGTCTCAAGCCATTGTTCCACCTCGGCCTCCCAAGTAGCTGGGACTACAGGCAGCGCCACCATGCCCAGCTAATATTTTGTAGAGACAGGGTTTCACCATGTTGCCCATGAAGGGCTGGTCTTGAACTCCTCAGCTGGTGATCTGCCTGCCTCCGTCTCCCAAAGTGCTGGGACTGCAGGTGTGGGCCACCATACTCAACCCCCCTTCCCTTACTTTTTATTTTGATCTGCTACTTTAGGAGCATATATTCTTTGCTTAATTTAGAAAAGAAAATCCCAGCCAGGTGCGGTAACTCAAGCCTGTAATCATAACACTTTGGGAGGCTGTGGTGGGCGGATCACTAGGAACCTGTAATCACAGCACTTTGGGAGGCTGAGGTGGGCGGATCACGAGGTCAAGAGATCAAGACCATCCTGGCCAACATGGTGAAACCCCGTCTCTACAAAAAAATACAAACATTAGCTGGGTGTGGTGGCGTGCACCTATAGTCCTAGCTACTCGGGAGGCTGAGGCAGGAGAATTGCTAGAACCCAGGAGGCGGAGGCTGCAGTGAGCTGAGATTGTGCCACTGCACTCTGTCTGGCGTCTAGCGACAGAGAGATGCTGTCTCAAAAAAAAAAAAAAAAAATCCCATATATTGATATAAAGCATAATAATACCTTTTGATTGCTGCAGTAACAAATTACCACAACTTTAGCAGCTTGAAACACCACAGACTTCTTATCTCACAGTTCTGTATGTCAGCAGTCTGGGTTGGCTCAGCTGGGTTGTCTGCTCTGGGTCTCCCAAGGTCAAAATGAAGGTGTTGGCTGATTGGACTGTTAAGGGGAAACTCTGAAAAAAAACTACTTGCAGGCTCAGGATGTTGGCAGAATTCAGTTTTGTACAGCTGTGGGACTTAGGTCCTGTTTCTTGGATGGCTGTTGTTTGGGGGTTGCTCTCAGGTCTAGAGGACCCCTTCCTCCATAGTCAAAGCCAGCAATGGCAGGTTGAATCCTTTACATGCTTTCAATTTCTCTGACCTCCCTTTCTGCTGCATCCCTGGCTCCAGCCAGACAATGTGCTCAGCCTTTAAGGGTTTAAGTGATTTGTCACCCCCTAGATAATCCAAACAGCAGCAGATTAATATCCTGCCCCCCTCACAGCAAGTAGTACCTAGATAAGTGTTTGGGATGCCATCTTTAGAATTCTGCCTACCATATTTTTGTAGTTTGCTGCTTCTGTTAAAGACTAGATTAAAACAAGAAAGACAAGTAGGTATTCCCATCTCTTCTCCTACTTCTCGGTAAATTATATGCAAGACACTGAAGATGACAAAGCTCAAGCACTAATCCTGCTGTGTGACTGTTGAGTTTCAATCAGATCACTAACAACATATATATGTCAAAAGAGCCTTACTTGACAAGCCATTCAAAGTGTTGTTTGCTGTCCGAGCACCCATAATCAGTGGTCCAAGCATGGCCAATGGTATATTTATGAAACTTCAGCATGTCCATTACTCCAACTTGGGCAATAACACAACCAAAGAGGTCAGGTCGCTGATTTGCACAAGTAGCTAAAAACCCAAGGTAGAAAAGGGAGGCAGTCTATCATTAAACATCTACATAAACAAAGCAAGGCAATACTTACATGCTTCC